CCCCCCGCCAGCCCCCGGCGGTTCCCGCGCGCTCTCTCCCAGCCAGAGCGCGGGGCCTCCCCGGGTTGGCGCCTCGGGTCCCTCTGTGCCCTGACTCCTTTCGTTTCTCCTCCACAGTCAAGTTCCTGGAAGTCATCAAGCCCTTCTGTGTCATTCTGCCGGAGATCCAGAAGCCGGAGAGGAAGGTAGGCTCCGTGCGTGGCGCCGCCGCGATCCCTTCGTCCTCCCCGCAAGCGGGCCGAGCGCTTCGTGGCCCCCGTCGCTGGGGACGGCAGCCTGGCTGTGCGGGGCTCCCTCCGGAGCCACGGCGCCCTACGTGGGGGCCATGTAATGGATGTCGCTCGGTGAATAGAGTCTGGGGCTTGCCCAGTCCCCGAGTCCCCGAAACGGATGTGGGCTGCGGATGAGTAGGCCTCGGTCAGGACGCCCGGCTGGAGCTACCCCCCTTCTCCACCTCCAGAAGAGCAGGTCGCTGCTTGGATTCTTTTCTGGGAGACGCCCTTTCTTTCCAGCTCCTAAGAGCAGTCACGTTAGTCTGTATGAATGAGTTTGTATCTCGTGTGGGCTGTCACCGAACTGAGAATAGAGGCATTTTGTGAAGGCTGTTGCTTTTCACAGCAGGTATATCAAAACAAAGTCGAAACGTAGAGCTGTGCTGAATTTGTATCAGTTTCCGTGGCTGCACAGCTACAGCCCAAGGGAGTGAGTGTTGCCAATATAAGTAAAAACGAAGAGTGTCATTAGGTTGGTACGTTAGAGAGTGAATAGTGAAATGTTTTCGTCTCCACGTTTTTTTCAGACTGTTAATGAATTCACGTATGTTTGTGTGTAGCTTATATCCACATGAACACGTGGGTTCTTGGAGGCACTTTTATATAAATGCCCCACATACGTGCTGCCTTTGATGAACTAATTTGTAAAGCTCTACGTCCTCAATCTCATCATAGTAGAAAGGATATAGCTCTGGAACCAGGCAAACCTAGGTCCCACCCCTTACACAGCCTCTAAACAGCAGTGTGGCCTTGGCCTTGTGACTAAGTATGGTAGGTGGAACAAGGGAAGTACGTGCGGTGGCCCAGGGAGGGATTAGCTCTGGAAGAGGTGATGTCTGATGGGGGTTTTGAAGGAGGAATAGAAGTTTCTTTGATGGGATGGAAGGAATCATAGGCAAAAGCAGTATACGACGGGGTTTCAAAAAGCTCGTGGAAAAATAGAATTAAAAGTTAATGCAAATTTTTCCACGAACTTTTTAAAGTACTCTTGTATAGTTTGCAAAGGTAAAGTACACAAGACTGTAGTGTGTTTGGATGGGAGGTTGTTAGGTATAGCTCATACTGAGAGAACATGAAGCGTCAGTGGGGAAGCAATAGGAGGCGAATGAAAAGGGCTTTGGAAGTAAGTAAGGGACAGAACTTGAGTATGATTTAGAGGCTACTGCATTGGAGGGTGAACTGTGGTACTGAGCGAGGGTGGATTTAGGGGCTATTTAAGAGGCAGAGGAGAAAGGACTTGGATAAAGAGCTTTTGAAATTTTGCTTTTAATTTGGTTATAACCAGGAGAAGAGACTTGGTCATAGAAAAATTAGGAGTCAAGGGCTGGCGGGTTAGCTCACTTGGTTAGAGTGTGGGGCTGCTAACACCAAGGTCAAGGGTTCAGATCCCCGTCCTGGCTGGCTGCCAAAAAAAAAAAAAAATGAGTCTTGAAAAAATATTCTGCTGTTTTTCCCCCATAAAGATTTATTTCCCTACAAGTTTGTCATGTTACTGATTAGTCTGAAAAGTTGACTTCCCTTGGCCAACTTGTAATTTCTTGGAGTGGTGTAATGACAGGTGGGAAGGGGAGCATTCTCAAGGAGAAGAAAAAGAAGAATTCTGTGAATTCCTCCCAGCTTCATGTGGAGTAGCTGAGCATTGAATTAACACCGCCATTGTGTGAGCGCATTATTGCATCCCGACTAGAGTGTAGCATGGTATACATAGAGGTCCGTGACTTCTGACCAGAGAGGCAGGACACTGACTCAGGGCTCGCTTAGACTTCTCTGTCTCTCAAATTAAAAAGTGTTTTTAAAGAACACACTTATGTTCACTTAAAACTGTCAGTCACTCATGAGGTATTTCCACCTCAAAATCCTCATCTGAACAATAATTAATGTGGTTGTTAAGCCCTCTAAAGCCCTTCCTGTAGTGTGGGCAGCTAGTACTAGTGAAGATGCTCAGTTGTAGAAGTTTTAGAAGACCTGGATGAGTTCCCACTCTACTGCTTAGTAATAGAGGCCATGGGCAGGAGGGTCTAACCTTCTCTAGTGATACTTAATAGTCATCTGTAAAATGATTCTTGTCATCTATCCGACTTAAATACTTGAAGAGACGTGAAGATTTTTAAAGTTAAACAGATGTTATTAGTACTGAGTGAACAGGTGAAACGTGCAACTCTCCCTACCTTCCCCCAATATTGGGCATTACATTGTTTTACCCCTAATTCTTAGAAAATACACTATTGAACAGTCAGTCCCCCATTCCTAGTTATCTGCTGAATAACAAGGTTTTGTTACTTACAGTCTCTCTCAAATAAAAAGCCATTGCTGGTATGCTATAAAGGTTTGTCTGTTTCACAAGTCATTCTTTGATCTTGGGTCTAAACCGTTAATGCTAATAGTATGGAGTACAGCTTTTGGCTCAAACTTGCTTCAGCTGTGGGATTGAGGACAAATTACATAGCCTTCCTTAGACTTGGTTTTCTCACAGTGGAATAAAGATAATAATGCCATGCAGGGTGAGGGTTAACGAAGATGATGCCCAGGAAGATCTTTGCATTGTCCCTGTGCATAGAAAGCAAGCGTACATGGTGCTTGTGTTTTCATGCTTATGTTTGGTACGTGGTTTTGGCTTACTCCTCTGGTGAACAGAGAAAGAAAGGGGTCTGATTTGAGTCCATCTTTATTAATTTGTTGTGAAAACTAACTTGTTGCTTTAATTCATTCTCTTCTGCCATAGATTCAGTTCAAGGAGAAAGTGCTGTGGACCGCTATCACCCTCTTTATTTTCTTAGTATGCTGCCAGGTAAACAGGTTTCATGTTTCATTACTGGGGTGGGGATAAGTGGGCTGCAGCAAGCATGCTGACTCCTTTGCTCTTTGCTTGTTTCTAGATTCCCCTATTTGGTATCATGTCTTCAGACTCAGCTGACCCTTTCTATTGGATGAGAGTGATTCTAGCCTCTAACAGAGGTAGGACTCTGGCTCTCTCTGCCTTTTCTGAGTACAGTGTGGGCTTGACTAGCCTCATTTAGTTAAATTACAGGCTTTAGCTTCAGGTGGAGCTCACGGAGTGTTTGTGAAGATATGTGGCTTGGAAAATAGAGTGAAGAATGTTAGTGTGCTTTGTTGAATAGCCTTATTAAATGCTGAATTCAGCACCCAGGCATACCATCGTATTTGGAATTGTGTTTGAATACAGTACCAAACCTGGAATAACAAGATAAGTCTACATTGTAGAGAATTTTTTAAAAAACATGGAAAAACTAGAATACTTCTTAAGTACTTGAAATGATGACAATTCAATTGATAACAGTCTTTAGAATATGTAATTTATTTTTCAGCTGCATCTTTTTTATATCTGTAGGTTACATATAAGTGTCAAAAAATATGTTAACAGTGTTTTGTATACTCTAACCAGTTACCTGTGGGTGGTGGGGAGGATTCTGAATGTGTATGTTGATAGTGCATTTGATTAACTCATTTTTAAAACAGTTCAAATTAAGTTCCAAATCATTCAGAAGTATAGCTCATTTTAGCATGATGGGAAGTAGAATTTATTCACAACTAGATACAATTGTACAGGCCCCCTTTCTAAATGCTGGAAATTATTTGAATGATATTCTTTTTTATTACCAGATGAAGAGACAAGTCTTTCTTATCTCTGTAAAGCCAGATGAATCTGTTTATGGTGAATTTAAATGCAGCAATCTGTATAGACACTGTGTGACTTCCTAAGCAGAATAAGATGTCACCCAGGAGGCTGAACAGAATGAATTGGGTTATATTCTAATCGTTGATATTTGGGGGTCATTCTCTAAGTTAAACACTAACAAACTGAAACACATTGGATCTGTAAAAGGGGTACCCAGTCGTATTTTTGTTCATTCATTTTTTTAAATAATGTTTTGCTTTTCCTAGCTAATATTGGCTGTGTTTTTCCTCCCCCTTTCCTCAAGGCACACTGATGGAGCTAGGTATCTCTCCCATTGTCACCTCTGGCCTTATCATGCAGCTCTTGGCTGGCGCCAAGATAATTGAAGTTGGTGACACCCCAAAAGACCGAGCTCTCTTCAACGGAGCCCAAAAGTGTAAGAAACATTGTGAATAATGTTCTGATGTCTATAGTTGAGAATTTGAATGATGTAAAGTTTGGGGCAACAAAGCAGTTTTTCTTTGTAAGCTGTGGCTGCCAACCCTGCAGATGCTCTGTGGCCTATGTTAGAGGGAAAGAGCTCTTCTGGAGAGCAGAGGTGCCAGGCGCTCGGGATAGGCTAGGCAAGGCAGGGGAGTGTGTGGAGTGCCCCCAAGGGCACGCTATGGAGTGAAAGGAGCAGGGGTTGCAGATCCCTCCTCCACCAGCCACAGTTTCATTACCACTGAGAAGAAGGCACCATCCACTTTGAGCCTGAGTAAGGGTGACACAGTAATCACTCTCACAGTGCCTGGCACACAGCTGTTACTTAGCAAGTGTTGTTTTTCTTTCTTCTGGGAGTTTAAAAGGATTTAACTGTAAGGAAAAGTGATCCTCTGAATCCAGTTCTACTGTGTACTAGCTTTATTTAAGTCTCAGTTTCTTCATCTGTAAAAATGGTAATAATAACGATGTTTGCCTCATAGCAAATAGTGTTACTAGTAACAGGGACCAGTCATTAGAATTAACCATGTTTAGGCTCTGTTAACTGAAGTATATTAGTCAGGAAATATTTACAATTTCCTACCCCAGCCACCTTTTCTTCCACACCATCATGTTTTACAGATCTTCTTTCATTAGTAGGTTAAATAATTGAGCAAGAAATACATCTAATTTAAACTTAGTTTCAGATATAAATCAGGATTTTAAATATCTACATGCATTATTTTACAGTACCACAAATCAGTTGTTGTCTCTTTGGTCTCGACAATGTTTTTAATGTTTTTTGCCTTAAGAATTCAGTATTACTGAGAACTTTTTACAAAGTCAAATGGGACTATATTTGATAGACACTTGGGAATAAAAATTTTTTTTTATTATTATTATTATTATTATTATTATTATTATTATTATTATTATTATTATTATTATTATTATTATTATTATTATTATTATTATTATTATTATTATTATTATTAGCAGCAGCTGGCCAGTACATTTTTTTATTATTATTATTATTATTATTATTATTATTATTATTATTAGCAGCAGCTGGCCAGTACAATCCAAACTCTTGACCTTGGTGTTACAAAATTTATTTTACCTGACAGGCTAAGCAGGAAAACTGAAATTGAAGTACAAGCCCATACTTAGAAACCCATCTCGTACTGTGGAACCAATAAAATGTGTCAGTTCCATTGTGGTGAAGTATAAGGAAAGACAAGAAACAAAAATAATCTACATAAAGGAAAGCTTCTATTAGACCAGAAGAGCTCAGTAGCAGAGGAAATGGGAATAGTAACCAAACTGATTTTGTGGCTTTTTCCCTTCAGAAATGCATTAAATAAAAACTTGGGAGACCACTTTACCCCAAAGTTAGTTAGTGTTCTGTGTTCTGGACTCAGACCTGGATGGTGAGCCTGCAGAGGTGGCCCAAATGTGTGTTTCAGTGCATGAGCCGTCCACATCCTAAGTGCCCTGACATTGAATTGAGTGCTGCAGGTGGTGACGTCACTAGATTGGATGTCTCTGAATGTCGTCTGGAGTAGATTTCTGCCTTGGTTTGCCTTTCATAAGAACCAGATTTGCCATGTTTCAGTTCTTTTACTCCTTCCTTTACTAAAAGGAAAGTGAATTTGGAAAAGATGGAATTAAAGAGCAAAGTGTTTTTGTTAAAAGGCAGTTGAATTAGCGTGTACTTTGATGATGGGAATATTAGTTTCCTTGACCAAGCTCCTTGGAAGCAGTATCGATACTTTTTGTCTTTGTTCTCCTCAGTGCCTGGCACTGAGTAGTTGTTCAGTAACTGTTTCCTCTGCTATTGTGTAATATCCCACTTTGGAAACACAGTTTTCTTTTGATTTCTAGTGTTTGGCATGATCATTACTATTGGCCAGTCTATCGTGTATGTGATGACGGGAATGTATGGGGACCCTTCTGAAATGGGTGCTGGAATCTGCCTGTTAATCACCATTCAGGTAACTGTTATGCAAACATCCCCCTTCTGAGTAGCACCTCACACTTACAATTCTCAAATTACAAATCTCAACCACGAATAAAAGGGGCTCTTACTGAGAACCATGAAAAGATCCTGGATTTGCCCTTCTGAACTCACCAGGGGAAAGCTCTCCTAACTGATGTCTGGCTGCGAATGACTCAGCCTTCAGTCTTTATATCCGAGAACCATGTCCATGGGGAGCAGTAATACACAGTCTGTTTGGGGTTTTTTTACTTTTATTTCTTAATTTTTACAGCTCTTTGTTGCTGGCTTGATCGTCCTGCTTTTGGATGAACTCCTGCAGAAGGGGTACGGTTTGGGCTCTGGGATCTCCCTCTTCATTGCAACTAACATCTGTGAGACCATTGTGTGGAAGGCTCTCAGCCCCACCACTGTCAACACGGGCCGAGGTAAGGGCCCTGGGCACCCCCAGACAGAGGTCAGCAAGAATTGTTGACGTGTGCCAAGCGTAAGGCAAAAGCTACCCCCTCCACAGAAAATTATGTCCATTTTAGGTATATCTCTTCTGATTTTTCTGTGTACATCTGCAGAGATTTTAAAACACAGATAGGCATATACTTACAATGATACCCAACTTGTATTTTTTGTATAAGACTACTTCGTGGACATTTGGAATGCTGGAATACATAATCCTGTCTCGTTTTTCTTAACACAGCATGAACTTCCATTGCAAGGTTAAGCAACATTTATTTTAACCAGTTGTCTTCTGATGAACATTTAAGTCATTTCCAGTTTTTTTTGTTGTTGTTGTTAACATGGAGACAGTGAACATCCTCATACATTCATCTTTATGTACAAGTATTTTGATTGTTGCTCTCAATGAATAAGTTTCTAAAAATGAAATTACTAAAGCACTTGGTCATGCAATGGGCAGCTTTGTGAAGAGTTCTGAACTTGGGGTTCACCATCTAGGTTCAAATCCTAGCTGTTCCTTTTAGCTGTACATCTGTGGCTTTGGGCACATTCCTCCACTGCTGACACTTGGTTGCCAGGATGAAATGAGAAACACGAAAATACATGATGCCTGGCTCTTAGCAGATGCCTATCAAATGTTAGTACACTACATTACATACACTAAGTGCCATGAAAGTCTTGTTACAAAGGATGTTTTACATAAAAATTACTAAACTACAAGGGAAGCCTTAGAGTGAGACTTATTAGGAAAAGGAAATAGGCTTTTTTTGTCACTAAATATGTTATTCACTTAGAAGAGTCCCATGAGAAATATTCACAAGCATTGTACTATTCTCTTGAACGTTGGAAACAGAGTCCCTGGCCTTCAGAGATCGTATAATCTCATTAATGAGACCAAAAACTGGTCCCCAGACAAGGGAAGGCCACATGTGCCAAACAGATTACAAAGAGTGTAGCTTAAGGGAGGAAATTTCAAGGGAACTTTAGAGAAGAGTGGGCAAGATCAGATTTGATTCTTCCCCGGGCTCTTCCTAGAATTTTAGGAAATCCAAGAGAAATTGGGAGAAGCTGGGGAACGGAAGGCAGGGTTTTGCAGGACTGGATGTGGAAAGGCAGGAGGGTAAAGGTGCAGGAGGAGCTCTAGTGTGTGGCAGGACCATCATGGTGGCTGGCCTTGGGGACCGCTGAGTTTGAAGGAAGTGATACTGGAGTAGAGGCCAAGGCAGTCAGGAAAGGCCTATAAGCCCAGCAACAACCAGCCAAAGGATTCATTCCATTCTGGAGCAGGGCAGTGAGCGATGGGGACCAGAGTTTGGAAGGGATGGTTTACTCCACACTGGAAGATATGCAGAGAACGCAGCTAGGCTAGTTTGCAGTAATCCAGCTTTGACAGGCCAGCCTGCACAAAAGCCCTGAGTGAGGGCTTTGGCAGGAAAGCGCAAAAGAGGTGGGACCAAAGGGCATTTTCAAAGACTGAGAAGCAAAGGTGGATTTGTCTCTGGCTTTGAGGTCGATGTGTCACAATGTCAGCTGGCCCTGTTTGGGACCTGGCTGGAGTGGAGGTGCGTCTGGGAAGGGTTATTCCCCGGCCAACTGCATGCAGGTGGTGAGAGGCGCTAGAGGGAGTAGAGAAGAGTGAGGAGGAAGAGCCACGTGGAGGGCAGCCTTGCAGCGCGGCCTAGAGCTCAGCTCCAGCTTGGCTTGGGAAGCTGGAAGCAGGTTGTTGAATGAGCCCTCTCAGACTGAGAGAATAACTCTTGCTGCTTCCCTGGGCAGTGGGGACAGTGCAGATGCAAAACAGCCTCTACCCCTGAAGCACTGGCACCTAGAGACTGCCTTGTTCCCAGAGACTCAGCAGGTAGCAAATTTTGAGAAATAGTTATGTTAAAAATTAGGAGAGCTAGGGCCTAACTCTGGCATTGCTGTTAATTAGCCTTTTGTTCAGCAAGTATTGATCAGGCGCCGTTAAGTACCAGGTGCTGTTCTGGGCGCTGGGAATGCATAGGAAGAAAAATGTGTGTTGTCTTTGTGCTGGGCATTGCCATAGGCTCCCCAGTTCAGAATCAGAGGAAGAAGACGGGACTGCCAGGGATGGTTGTTGCAGTGTTAGTGCAGGTAGCAAAGCAGGGCCTCACAGACAGTACAGTGAAGTCCTGACTGAGGTGAGGGAGCCCCATGACTGACTGGGGAGATTGTTCCATTTGGAGAACCAGCAGGTGTGCAGGCCCTGAGGTGAGGATGTATGCAGTGTGCTCGGGAATCGGCGTGTGTGGCTGGAACAGAATGAACAAGGGGAGAGTGGTTGCTGGTGAGACCGGAGAGATATTGAGGGGTGGCGTGAACAAGTTCCTTCTTCCTTCCCCTCAGCTCCCCAGCCTTCTTCCTCTATAAAATAAGAGCCCTGTCCTGGCTCCAGCTTTAATATCCCTGGGTTCTGTACAGTAGGGAGACTGGCCAACATGGTCGCACGTGACCAAAAGTGGAAAGGATGGAACTGACGAAAGACTGGCGCAGGGCGAGGGGAAGCCCGTAGGGTTAGCGCTCGGTGTTTCTTGCACACGTCCCAGGGCTCCAGAGGTCAGTGTAACACCCGTTAGATGGCGTGCCTGACATGTCATCTCTTAGAGGTCCAGGAGGAAGCAGCCAGTGGCTTCAGCTATGACATGTTAGAAACTGGAGGGAAATGCCATCCCAGGGCAGTCCTTGGTGCACCTCATGGTACCAATACCATTACCCCACACTGCGTGGACAGCGTCAGCTTCCTGCCAACAAAAGCATGAGTTGCCAGGCCTCCATTGTGGGGTAGTTATGCCACCCTGGAACAGCAAAGGTTACACAGTGATGCGATGTTCTTATTTCTTAGTTTAGCCGTTTCTTTGTCTGTTTTTTGGCAACTGGCTGGTACAGGAATCTGAACCCTTAACCTTGATGTTATAATACTGCACTGTAACCAACTGAGCTAATCAATCAGCCCTTTCTTTTTTTCTTGGCAATTAGGCTTTAATAATACACCATGCTCCCCAGCTTGCTCTTGCCCCCTGTCTCCTAGTCCTCAGCTTGGGTCCTCTTTCTTCCAGTTTTCCTTCAGTCCGTCAGTAAGCTCACCGTGCTGCTGGGCCTACCTTCCTCGGCACCATCTCATGGTAGGGCATGAGCTCCAGTTTTGATGGGGCCACGTGGTGGGCATGAGTGTCATGCTCTGCTTTCAGAGTCAGTGTGAGGAGCAGAGCACCTCCGCCCCACCTGGCTGGGGCGGTCTGTATTTCAGAGCTGTTGAATGGATGCTCATAGTTCCTGGGATTTTCCAGGAAAGTGGATTTGTCAGCTCCAAACCCTCTCTTCAGTGCACAGCCCTTCCAGCTAGAGCTCAGCAGACCCTGCTTTATTTTTTTTAGTTGGTGATCTTCGTTCACACATCTGGTGGCCATTGTCTCATATGCCTAAGAAATGAGATCATTGAACTCAAAAAAGTAGAACAGCCTGTTTCTGTAGTTTGCACTCTCTATGGAAGAAATAGTAACGAGGGATTAGAGAAACCCATACTGTGTCCCTGTGGCTGCAGGAGTAGGCGCTGTGACTCTCATAACTGCCTCTGCTTTCCTGCCTCTGTGCCGGCTGCTAAGCCACCTGGAGGCAGATTTAGTTGCTTTTTGGTCCTTCACTACTTTTGGCCCTCCTCCGCCAACAGGAATGGAGTTTGAAGGCGCCATCATCGCACTGTTCCACCTGCTGGCCACACGCACCGACAAAGTCCGAGCCCTCCGAGAGGCGTTTTACCGCCAGAACCTCCCCAACCTCATGAACCTCATCGCCACCATCTTTGTCTTTGCAGTGGTCATCTATTTCCAGGTGCGTCCAGATCGGACCCCAGGGAGTTCTGATGGTCTGGATCTAAGTTTCAGAATGCCTTGGTGTGTACACCCCCACCCCGTCCTGGGGAGGTGCACACGCCGTCCTATCACACTGCAATGGTGAGATGGCGTTTGGAGGGAGCAATTTCCATGTGAGCTGAACAGGTGTGTTCAATGAGTCAGGGACTTGCCCAAACTAAGCAAAATTAAGGCAGTTCTAACATTTCTGGAATCATCTTTCTTTGGGTTGGGCCTATCAGCAGATATGTTTTTAAGTCCTTAGTTCAAGAGAAGTGAAAAGTAGTCAAGCTCTAAAACCTCGCTGCTGTCTTCCCCAGAATCTAGAGTATTTGTAGGCAACATCTTAATCTTGGATGAAGCCCTTCCTCTTAAGAGCCCTTACCTTTAAAATTATTAGTCTCTTTAACTTGCTTCTGAATAAGACACCTGAACTTCCAGTTCCTTTTCTATAATTAGATTATCTTTGTATTTTTTGGTTGTCCATTTTATATTTTGATATTTATTGAAAAGAAGGGACAGCAGTTGAAAGGCAGTTTTATGTTCGTAAAAATTAGGTGTTCGTACTACCTGAATGCTTTTTCTGAGAAGCAAATAAACTAATCTGTTACTTCTGCTGGAACTTTTATTAGTCAGATGCCTGATTAATAATGAGCTAACTCTTGGTCCAGCCCCATGTTTCACTTGGGAGAGTGTGGTGCTGGTAGCGCCGAGGCCACAGGTTCGGATCCTATATAGGGATGGCCAGTGTGCTCGCTGGCTGAGCGTGGTGTGGACCACACCGTGCCGAGGGTTGCAATCCCCTTACCAGTCAGAAAAATAAATAAATAAATAAGCTGACTCTTTTAGAGCCCTGGCAAGTATTTGCAGTCAGATCATTAAGAATTTACTTTAAATCTTCTGTATTCTGAGCCATTCTAGGCACTGGGAGTTCATAAAAACAACATACAAGAAACCTTTTCTATTTTCCATGGGTTTCAGAGATAGCAGTTGTATTTATAGAGAGAACTACTTACTGTCGGGATCTAGGGATGTGTCCTTCCAGGATTTTCTGTATATTCCACATCTATGTAGGGATAATGCGGTGGACTTTTTTTTTTTTTTTTTTTTACAAAAATGAGATCATTCCACTCTGCTGTGCTTCAGTGCATTTTTAAACCAGTTCTTCTGGACCCTCCTGAGTGTGCCCCCAAGTGCAATAGTGCAGTGCTGGGTAAGGAAGGGTCATGTGCTCTCAGACACACTCAGAACCCACGCCAGGGCTGCCTCCCCGGGGCTGGCCTGCCTGTCCCCACTGTCCCTGTGCACTAGGCTGCATTGAGGCAGTGCAGGGATGTTCTGTTCTGTTTGGCTTCTCAGGGCTTCCGAGTGGACCTGCCAATCAAGTCAGCCCGTTACCGAGGCCAGTACAACACCTACCCCATCAAGCTCTTCTACACCTCCAACATCCCCATCATCCTGCAGTCCGCCCTGGTGTCCAATTTGTATGTCATCTCCCAGATGCTGTCAGCTCGCTTCAGTGGCAACCTGCTGGTCAGCCTGCTGGGCACCTGGTCTGTAAGTGTAGCTGATTTAAGATGTACTCCTTTTCTAGTGATGTTACTATTTGTAGTGGTTTGTGTTGGTGTATTCTTGCTCATGACCAAATGTTTTAACCAAAGATATTTTCCAACTGTGCTTCGTACTAATTCAGCACATTAAATTTTCTTTTCAGTAAGAAAATTGCACTGTGGGCACTTAAATAATATTGTGTCCTTTCATATGCTGAAGACTATCTTTTGTCTTGATGCTGTGTTATAATGAAACAGCATTCACAGGCATTCTGTTTCTTCTTCCCAGGACACTTCTTCTGGGGGCCCAGCACGTGCTTATCCAGTTGGTGGCCTTTGCTATTACCTGTCCCCTCCAGAGTCTTTTGGTTCCGTGTTAGAAGACCCTGTCCATGCAGTTGTGTACATAGTGTTCATGCTGGGCTCGTGTGCATTCTTCTCCAAAACATGGATTGAGGTCTCAGGTTCCTCTGCCAAAGATGTAAGTAGAAAAGATTTCTAGAGAGATGATTGAACTGTTACTGGTATAAGGGTATTAACTTGTCACCTCTTCATAAATAGTGGCTTGTGGGCCGGCCCGTGGCTCACTCAGGAGAGTGCGGTGCTGATAACACCAAGGCCACAGGTTCGGATCCTATGTAGGAATGGACGGTTGGCTCACTGGCTGAGCGTGGTGCTGACAACACCAAGCCAAGGGTTGAGATCCCCTTACCGGTCATCTTTTAAAAAATAAAATAAAATAAAAAATAAATAAATAGTGGCTTGTGACAAATGCAGGTGGTCAGCCTCAAGCCAACAGATGGAGCCCAACATTAAATTAGCACCAATTCTGAAATCTGAAGCCAAAGTGTAAAATTAGACTTTGTCCTGTGACTTCCTTGCAGCAGTTTTAAAGTTCTCTATGTAAATATTGTTAGTGCTGGAGGAGAAAATCTATAACTGTTTAATACCAGCATGAAATGTCTACCTTCCCTTCAACGTCCCATTGAAAACTGAGCATGTCTTCTCCTCGGTGGGCATTATGCAGGTTGCAAAGCAGCTGAAGGAGCAGCAGATGGTGATGAGAGGCCACCGAGAGACTTCTATGGTCCATGAGCTCAATCGGTGAGTGCTGGCCTAGGCCCCCAGTGTCATATTCATGGGCATGTGCAGTTTTCTCACATGTCGAGAGTCCTGATAGGCCTTAGGATTTTCTGGCTCACTAAATCTCATCCTTGGGTTACAGCATAGGAAAGGTCATTAAACGTTTATGCACTTGCTATGCTGGATACTGGAGATACTTGTATAAAAATAAATGCATACAGCTCCCTCCTGAAACACGTGGCCACCAGGTAGGGGGACGGAGGCGTGTGGTCAGCACACAGGAACAGTGGGCAAGGGTTCTGAGGGAGACAGTGCAGGCGGCGGCCGCACCTCACCTTTGCTTGTGCCAGCAGGGTGGCCGGGCACTGAAGGGGTCACCCAAGAGGAGGTCAGCCTGTGAGCTCAGAGCAGCAGGTCCTGGCGTCTGAGTGCAGACTAGGGCCTGCAGGGGAGGTGAGGCTGGAGAGGCCGGCAGAGGCTGGGCACGGATGAGGCAGGACCTGTGGTCTTTTAGGAAGGTCAGTGCTGGTGAGACAAACCAGAGAGGGAAGGAGGAGGCCAAAGACAAGCCAGCCTGCTGTGAGAGTTTGGGCCAGGGGTGACGGTGGCCAAATGCGCCATCACCTTGGAGCTGGAGAAGAGGGAGATTGGGGAGCAAGAGAGCTCCCTGGACATGGGGGGCAGCTGGATGAGGGGCACATGGGGTAACCTTGCATGCTTGCACAGCACTGTGCAATCTGCACACTTTTGTCATAGATAATGGAGCTGCCTCCTGGGCAACAGGCTGGCGGCACTAAGGGTATTAAAGCTATTTGGGCCCTGCAGTCTGTCACGGCTGTTCATCTCTTCCATTGTGACTTGAAGGCAGCCACAGACAAAACATGGACAGATAAGCATGGCTGTGTTCCTACAAAGCTGCTGACAAAATCTGGTGGCAGACCAGGTTGTGCTGTGGGCTGTAGCTTGCTGACCCTCAGCTGAGGGAGCAATGGCAAGAAAAGCAGACACCACGAAGTGCAGGTCGTCTCCTGGTCCCCAGCAGGAACAGCAGGCCATTCAGTTCATCCTGGTAACATAAGCCTCTAGGTTGATAGCTCTGTTGGGTAGAACTGTAAGTCACATAAGTAAATTTTCAAATTTCTAGTAGTCACATTAAAAACGTAAAAAGTATGCCAGCCAGTCACAAAAAAAAAAAAAGTAAAAATGAGGTAAAGTTAATTTTAATATATTTTTTTGAACCCAGTGTATGCAGAGTATTGTTTCAACTTGTAATTAATGGCAGAAAATCATGACAAGATATTTTACATTCTTGTTTTCAAACCAAATCTTCAGAATCTTGTGTGATATCCTCAACATCTCAATTCGGACTAGTCACAGGCCACTAGCCACATGTGGCCAGCAAGGCTTTAGTCTGGAACATGCACGTGTTAGTAGATGAGATGTCAAGGAGTGAGTGGAGTGGCCTCTGAAGGTGTTAGGTTCCTAAATCCTGGGTGCGCCTGTTGGACTGTGCAGCCCCTGCCTGTGGCCTGGCTTGGGGGTGTGCAGGTGGCATGGAGCTGACCGTCTCCCACCCCCCAGGTACATCCCCACAGCCGCTGCCTTTGGAGGACTTTGCATCGGGGCCCTCTCAGTCTTGGCTGACTTCCTGGGTGCCATCGGGTCTGGAACTGGGATCCTGCTCGCAGTCACAATCATCTACCAGTACTTTGAAATTTTTGTCAAGGAGCAGAGCGAGGTCGGCAGCATGGGGGCCCTTCTCTTCTGAGCCCATCTCCCATCGGCCAGGGAGAGGACATGTGCTCCGGAACTGCCTAGGAAAGGAGCTCTGGTCTCAGGAGAGTGCTGCTGTGGCATAAGGACTTTTGTTTAATAATGTTTTTGAGTTTCATATTCTTTCATTCCACTGTGTAAAGTGCTAGTCATTTTTCAATTTGAAATTTTGCTTTTTATTCTGGCGTTGGCAAAAAGAACTGTAGAAGTGAAGTTTTATCCAGCTAACTGCCAGGGAGGTGAGAATGCTGAATGATTGTCCCTGCATGTCCATACACCTTTTTTCATAATCTTTGTACCTTCTCGGTGCCGTATGCGGCTACAGTGGTCTCAGTCATTTCCCCACAAAGGGAATTTCTTACTCTGGTTGGAAGCACAAACTTTGAAATGTCTGCGTTTCGTTTGGGCAGTAAGGGGTGAAGCTGGAAGCAGATTATCTGTTTTCTGGGGACATGGGACCTCACTAGCGTGTCTCCTTCACAATCAGGGTGGGAATATCTGGCTTCAGACTGTTTCTCTGTAAGACACCACTGTTCTCCCCTCTAAAAGTCATTTTTTTAGGACAGCACTTCTTCCAAAAGAGAGGGATGAATTTCCCAGAAGACACTGGGCCATCTGTTTATTTTCCTGCATGCACCTGTTGGCTCTTCTCGCTGACTGTCCTAGTTGGGCTTTGAGTCCACTGACTCTGCTGTCTCTGGTTTAGTCAGCTTGTGTCCTCTGGCCACACGAGGTCAGAGTCACCATCTTTATGAAGTTGAGCCTGGGCAAGCTAGGTAGACACTTGTGTGAAGGACCCTTGCAAGGACACCGGTCTCTCTGTCCATATTCTGCCAGCTGTCACTGGACCTGTCTCCTCATGGCTGCACTCAGTCCTCCCACTCCCCTAGAAAGGGGAGACCCTGTGGTGGCAGTCAGACAGAGAGAAAGCGACTTTGTGTTCATACACAAGCCACTTCCACCTTCTAGGCAGAAAAACTCCCACTCATATTTTTAGAACTTTCTTAGCAAGTAAGTCAATGACAAGAAGCCACCAGTCTCTTCTCCTCAGCCCTCACCAGCAGGGCCAGCAGAGGTGAGCGCAGGCTCAAGGTCAGCAGTGAAGTCAGGTTCAGGGAGCTAGGTTATTTTTGGTAAGCTGCTCCAGTGTTTTTCAGAGACTCACGATTATGTCTAAAATCAGTTCTGTTTGTAACAACAGGTGACCCAGATCTTGGGATTAGAGCCCTTTCTAAGGCCTTTAAGGAGGCCGTCTCCAAAGACAGGTGCTGCCTGTCAGCAATGGCAACAGGGTTGGGGACTGAGACCCTGAGAGAACTAGAGGTTCTCAGTTGACCTTTAGACACTGGTGGGACAAAGCTGTTCTCACAGGACGATGCCCCAATTCTAAGAAGGGAGCACGGGGGGTGAGTGCAGCCCTGCAGGAAGAGTCACAGCACCAGCAGCAGGCACAGAGGCCGTTGAAGCATAGAGCCACTGTCGCGATGCAGTAGAGGTGGCAAACTGTACCTGAGTCAGGGTGGGGTTTCCCAGGAGACCTCACTGGCAGTGCTAACCAGGAAACAGATCAACCGAGAGACAGGAAGCAACTTGCTTGAAGCCACCCAGCAAGTTGGCAGCAGAACTAGGATCGGCCCCAGGTCCCTCGACCCCCAGTCCAGGGCTTACCACCATATCACACGTGGCCTTGTCTCAACCCAGTCCTGAGCTGTGGGAGACCCTGTGAGACCTGACGCCCTCCCACCCCCGATTCTCCCACTGTCTCTGTCCTGTCAGTGTTACAGAGCAGTAGGGTCTCTGCTAGCACACCCCTGGGACCGCTACAGCCTCTGGCAGGCGAGCACAGTCCCCAAGCTCATGGGCTATGGGCTGGAGAGTGCCGGGCCTCAGCAGGAACCCCGCCGTCCTGCCTGCAGCCTCTGACCATCCGGCTGGGGCCTGTGGGGCCCAGGCTCACACCCCATGGTCGATGGTCAAAGTGGGTGGTGGGTGGGGCTGACCCTGGCTTCCAGGGGACTGTCACTGTGGATGCCAAAGTGGCATCACTGAGATAAGGTGAATGAGTGACAAATAAATCTGGTTTCTCACACGCTTCTTGGTCATGTTCTCTCAGTTTTAAATTAGATTTTATTCCTAAAAAGGGCCATGAGAGGGCCGGCCCGGTGGCGCACTGCTACAGTGCGCTGCTTGGGAGCGCAGCGGCGCTCCCGCTGAGGGTTCGGATCCCACATACAGACCTGCCGCTCACTGACTGAGCGAGGTGCGGGCGCAGCACCAAGGGTTGCGATCCCATTGCCGGTCCCGGTCCAGTGCGGGCGCGATGCTGAGGGTTGCGATCCGTTGCCGGTCACGAAAAAAAAAAGGCCATGAGAGCAGAAGGCTGAGTGCACCTTTAGGTGTGTCGAAGGCTGGGCTGAGGTCTCCCTAGGTCGAAGCTCCTCAGAGGCATTTTGCCTAGAAAACTTCCTTCCTCCTGATGGTGATATCAACCTCCTGCTCATGTTTTTGGTAAAGAACACAGCCCAGGTACTGGGCAGGTATGCAGCTGCTGCAGGGGGGCGGAGCTACAGCCTCTGCGGTGAGAACTTCAAGGCCTCCAGCCAAGTGCAGGCAGCCTTGCTCGCTGCCTGGTGGGAGGGAGGCAGGCCCTCTTGGCAGGAGCCTATGGCCCCATGCCTCCCAGCCTTCGGAGTTCAGGCTTCAGTACACAGCAGGTCACCGGAGAAGTCTCACCTCGGTTGTGAGACTGGCCACAGAGCAGACCTGTAGCTGAGCCAGAGGTTGGCCCTCAACCCAGGAGTCCAGCGGCGTATGGATGGGGGTGGCAGGCTCAGTGGCTGCTCCCCTGGAACATGCAGAAATCTTCCGATCTGTCTCCACACCGCACCACATGGCAGACCACACTTCTTTCATCCTAGCCCTGGACAAGGCCTCACCCCAAGCCCTCTGCCCCACCACCCTGGCCCACTGCTTCCTTGTAACCCTCTAGGGATGGGTGGGCAGGGTGGTTCCCATGACCAGGCTGTGGGTGGACGCTACTCCCTGGTGGGGTTCCAGCCTCCCTGTTTCCTTGGAGAACCTTAGACTATGTCTTGGAAATTTTCTGATTCTGGGATGGTGTTGGGCCAGGGTAAGATGTCCTTTTGGGACCACCTGGATAGGTGCTATGCAAGGCACCCCTCAGCACTGTGCTTTGGTACTGCACTGGGACCCACACGTGCATCCCACTCTGCCCTGTGCTGCCTCCACACCTGCAACCACAGGAGCGGCGCAGGAATCCCAGGACAGGAGCACAGCACGTGGTCATGGGCTGTAGACAAGCCAGGCGCTGTGAGTGCCGGGGCAGCAGTGCGCTCTGTTTCAGCCTCCACAAGCTCAAGTCAGAAAACCTCCTTCACCGGGGAAGCACTGGGCCTTCCCTCACTGCCTGGGGATATTTGGTTGTGCCTGCGCCAGGGGCCAGCCTCGCCTTAGAACAGAGCCCACAGCCCACAGACAGGCAGTCGTGTGTGCGTGTGTGTGGCTTGAGATCCCAGGCTGTGCCGTGGCTCCCTGTGCCATCTCACAGTCTCTGTGGCGCAGCTTCTCGCCCGTGCCCACAACTGGGCGGCAAAGCTTGCTCTCTTTCCCCAGAGGCAGGCGCCATGCCAACCACTTCCTACACGTGCTCTCACTGCACCCCCTCAAGAGGCCCAGAAGGAAACTGTCCCCATTTCACACATGAAAAAACAGGCCCAGGGAAACAGAATGTGGCCTCCAGTCACACAGCCACTTAGTGGCAGAGCCAGGACACAAAGCCCCAGGCTCTCTTCCTGTCCCAAGCTCCCATTTGGCTGCTGGGCCTGCCTGCAGATACCTGTGCTAGGGACCTACTTGGGGCAAGGAATGAGGAGTCTAGTGAGACACACCCCAACCCCTGGGAGCTTTCCCATGCTGCCCTTGGCTAAGTCCCTGCAGGGGAAACTGCCATGGGTTAACAGACAGCCCCAGCCTCAGCCAGGTGCCCCCTGCTGCAGCCCCCAGCACTCTCTACCTGCTGACACTCCACCCCTAGCCTTATCCATTCTAAGATGTAAGAGCGTATATATACACACACACACACACACATTTTTTTCCCCATTAAAAGGCCAGCTTGGGCCGGCCCGGTGGCGCACTGGAGAGTGCGCCACTTGGGAGCGCGGCGGCGCTCCCACCAAGGGTTCGGATCACATGTGGAGACCGGTTGTGCTCACTGGTTGAGCATGGTGCGGGCGCAACACCGAGGGTTGCGATCCCGTTACCGGTCAGTAAAAAGGAAAAAAAAAAAAGGCCAGCTTGCTAAGTCTTCCCCAAATGCTCTTTTCCCATAGGCACGCTGGGATATGCCCCTCCCTCCCCTCCCACCCCAGCTTCAGCCTCCATTTCCTGGAAGCAGGATGCTCAGGTGATGGGTGTGACTTGGGATCTCAGACCCCTTTCCCAGCCCAAGTCCCTGCCGGGCCTGGATGAGGTCCTCAGGAAGCTCAGGTGTATGACCCAGGAGGAGCATGGCTTCCTGAGGCCGGGGATGGGCATATGGCACTGTCCAAGGGTCAGCAACAGCCCAGCCTAAACTTCAGTACCCACCAGTGCCTGCTCTGGAGAGTCCCAGAGGTGCCCCTAAATGGCAGTGCCCACCTCACTCCCCTAAAACCCTTCTGGGACCACATCACCCACTCCTTTTCACTCAGTGAGCATTACTGAGCCCCACAGGGTAAACTGAACAGAGATGCTTCTATAACTCGGAAAGCTCATGCCCCAGCAATAGGAGTTCTGCAGTGTCTGCCATGCCTTTGGGCCTGTGATCCTTCTGTCCGCCCGACAAACTCCTGGTCATCTTCCAAAACCCAGCTTAAGGCTAGAAACATCTAAATGCCCATCAGAAGGGAGCTGGATAAATTACACCACCCCAGCACCTCCCTCCTGTGGAAAGGAACTAGGAGGACTTTCTTTACATACTGAGTTAGAATAATCTCCAAGATAACACTGAGGAAAAATACAAAAAGCAAGAAGCAGGATAGCATATGCTACTATTTGTATTTAAAAAGGAGGTGGGGAGTGGATAAAAAAATTGACTGGTCTAGCAATTTCTCATAAAACTAAACATATGCATACCCTGTACCCAGCTTTAATCCCAAGAGAAAAATATGTGCCTACACAAAGACTTGTACAAGAAGGTTCATAATAGCTGAAAACTGGGAACAGTCTAAATGGCCATCAGCAGGCAATGGATAGTGAATTGTGCTATATCCATATGATGGATCTTACCCAGCAACAACATGGAACAAACGACTGA